CCGATATCCACACACAGATCTTGGGAAAGGGAAAGCTGCTTCTCCCGTGGGTGATTCACTTCTCGGTGGCAGAGCCGTCAGCTGTAGAAGTCCCACTGCTTGTCCTAATCTACAAGGCGGGCATAACGGGGCAAGCCTTTCATTTGACTTCCATTTACAAGGTTAAGTTCGTTCATGGGGAAAGCACCAATAAGCCTACAAGGAAGAGCAGATTAGAAATTTCAGGAAGAAAGGGAAAAAAAGTCACTCAGCCCTCAGCTCATCCTCTGTTGAGACCACCCCCTGTTCTGGCACATGCTGGCCATCACTGTGGCACAAGAGAATTAGGACTGCCGCTGCTTTATTCCTTTCTTTCAGCTACTTACAACAATTGGATGCTGTGGCTTGTGGCATCCGTATCCCAAATTGTCCAGACCTGACTCACAAAATTTTGTTTGTGTCCATAAGGTTCATCTCTAACAGATTCTATACCAGTAATACAGTGTTTGGATTTTGGTTTTATTACAGTTTGAACTGCAAGATATACAAGATCCTAATCATTTCCTGTTGCCCAAATGCTTTCTCTCTTCAACAGCCTCTTTTTTCCCATAGGATTGTACTGGTAGTGGTCTGGGATTTGAAGGCAGGTAGGAGCTTTCACTATCCTGTGGCTCCCTGCAGACCAGAGATAACTCCGCACTTGGGCCCAGGCAGTCTCCTCACCTTCCTGACAGCCTCAAGGACTCTGGAACTAATTCTGCTTATTGAGCTGATTGGGTTTTTTCTGCTAAAATTTTCTATTTATTCCCCAAGTCTTTGTCCTTTCTTAAAAGGGATTATTTTCAGATGTGCCTCTTCTTTAAGAACTTTAATCCCATTAACTAACAATGAAATAAATTCATGCTTGTTATGGAGATTTAGGTAAACCTTGAATTTTTTGTTTTCTTTCTGAAACCCTTACAAGTCTACTTTTAATTATATTGAAATAGCAAAAATACAGTTTAGCAGGCACATAGGTGGCTACCATATCTTCAATATGTTCCTCTACATATTCCTAGAACTTCAGCTCTTAAATCCACAATTCCTGTCTAACATGGAGCTCACAACTTCGGTAAAGGCTAATAAATTTCTTAGTGGGAAAATGCTGAATATGTTACTTCTTTTCTAGTGGGAATAAGCCCAGTCAGTGGTCACATATTTTCCTTATAACTTCAGCATTGGATGAGTCATAACCCAAAATTTATTCTTAGAATTTCAACTCTTTGGTTTTCCACAACTTTTATGGGAAGCTGTAGCAGACCTTCCCACGGGCATTCATTATACTCCAGCACTTGTGGAATAGTCTGCAAATAATGGATTATTCAGAGCTGCCTTTACCATTTCATCTAAGCATGTATGTGTCAATCTGGAAGCTGAGCCCTCCTAGCACAGTCTAAGTTTGTGTGGTTTGAAGTCAGCTCTGGTGCAGACCATTGTAATGTTGTGCCATAGAATATTTGGTGGTCAGAAGTAACCCAGCAAAAGAAATACAAATTCGTGATCACTTTTCTTGGCTTCTTCTCCTTAAAAGTTGACTTTCCTTGATATGAGCTGGATCTCTTTCAGAGGTAGCAACCATCACTGTGTTCTCCAGAAGACTGTCCTGCAAGGAGACCGTATGAGTAACTGTTCTGCTCCTTCTTGGGTCTCTGCCACCTTCTTGTTACTCCAGGACACAGCAATCTGCAAAGCAGACATTGTTCTGCACTTTGGGTCCTGAGATCCATCAGCTGACAGAGTGTTTTACAGCAGCTGCCCCCAAAGTTTTAATTATTTTGTCCAGAACATGCAATCTTTCTCCCTCCCAAGAAAAGACTTCTCCATTATAATTAAGTGTCCTTCTGATTTTGTTTCAACCCTGAAATACACATTTCCATAACCAGAATCCTTCCCCTCAGAACCTGGCCAAGCAGACAGTCCCTGGTTGTCCCTGAGGTTTCCTTTACTACAGATTTTCATGGGTTTAAATTTCTTTGGGATCATGCATTAGTTGGTTTATCATATATGATAACTAATTAAAGCAACATCCTCTGAGTGAGTTTGTGACATTAACAGATCTGCTGTGTTCTATGTTGCTCACTGTTTGATGGATGCTGTGTTGCAGAGGTGCAATCTTCCCTCCATCACAAGTTTGGGCTCACAGTCAGAGTCTGCAGGGTTTTACCTAGAAAAGCAGCTTCACTTCACTTCTTGATATCGAGTTTCAAGCACTGCCACATCCTGTGCTAAGTCCACGCTTACCCTGGCCTGTGCTGGTCACAGCACTCAGCTGCAATAAACCACCAGCTAGAAGACAGTAACAATCTCCTCCACCTCCTCCTGACCTGGGATGTTTTCTCTTACTAAGAGGATTTGGATGAACATCTGCCATCCAGGGATTTTCTCCGGAAAACAAATAAAAATTAAAAAAATTGAGTTTGGCAGATCATTTTTTCTTCCTCATCAGGGTCTGGCGGTGCTGGCAGGACTCGCTGTCAGATGGGTGACAGCAGTGCACCAGAGAGGAGACACAGGGCTCATCATCAGCTCTGTCTGCTGGCTGCCATCAGAGCTGCTCCATTAAATGCAGCTCAAGAGCCATGGTAAAAGCATTAAGCCATGCAGCATTGCATTAAGATTCTTCCTTCAGAAAGGTTTTGGACTGAAACAGTTTTTGCTTTGGCTCGCCATTGTCATTTGCACTTCAGTGAATGAGGTGAAGGTCAAAAGTAATAGAAATAGAGATCTCAGACTTTCAGATGTGTATGTATCTTCTCTTCAGATGAGTATCTGAAACCTTTACACACTTTCAGATCATTTCACAAGGACAGCTCTGGTCAGGAGGGTAGGGCAGGGAGTTGCAGAGAGCCACATGCCCATGGTGGAGGTACAATTGGGATGGCAAAAATCCTCTGCCACAGTTCTGGTACAAAGGCTTTTAATAGGCAAGAACAGATTTTTTGCCTTTGACACAGAAAATCCTGACTGCCCATCAGGCATTGTGTGGATAGAAAAGAGAGAACCACTCACAGAGAGGTGACCCCACTATGGAACAGGGAGATTTCAGAATCTGAACTTTTCCAGTTCTGATCAGTGTGAGACAAGTGCCCTTCAAATGCTGCAATGGATCTCTGCTGCATAGCTTCTAATTTGTAGTGCATTTTAAATCAAGTGCAGGTATTTGCAATCAAAAGAAAGACAGAATCAGCTGCCAAGTAACTCTCTGCATTAGCCCTTTGCTGAGTGGCATAGAACAGCCTTCAGCCACCAGACTGATTGTTTTGTTTAAACAATGAATTTCAAAAATTTCATTGTCACCTTGTTTCCCAAGTGATGTGCTTGACAAAACAGGTCCTGGTGCAGGTGTTGGCTCTCCAGAGAAGGTAGACTTGGTTCAAGGTGAGGAATGACCCTCCAAAGGGTCAGTCATGCCTGAAAAATGTTTCTTTCATTTATATTTGTTCAGTCAGTGAATAGGAATGTTTCCTTTTAAGGCAGTGTATTTACTTGCTCAGCATCCATTGCCTTCACTAGGGCCCAGGGATGCAGGAGCACTTCTGCTTTGCTTCAACCCCTGCTCAACTGGGTCTTGAACCTGACATGCCCCCAGTCTCTAAACATCATCATTTTTTTTTCCTTCACGAACTCTCTGCACTGCAAGTTCTGCTTTCCAGCAAGCAGATGTTCTTCATCCTGAAATAGTTGAGTTCATCTGGATCACATCCAGCCGTGATCAGGCTCCATCAGGATCTCCGTAGCAGGACTCTGCATCCTATAGGCAAAGACTATAATCCTGCCTATGGGGTCTGAGATCATACAGGAGGTATTCTTGGGAGCAGACTCTTGCACCTCTGTTCTCCCTAGGAAGCACAGTTGTCACCACTTTCTTCTGAACAACATCTGGAAAGTAGATAACATAAATGAAAAAAAAAAATTCCTTAACCTTTGAGCGTTACTAATTAGTGCTATTTACACTGCTAACCCCATAAAGAAAAAGGCAATATAACCTCTGGCCTTTCTGGCAGCAGTGGCAGAAGAAGAGCCAAGGACAAGTGCCACAGTCTCCAGGCTAGAGTGGCAAGCACACAGTGGGATGGGTACAGACAGACTGTTTGGAGAAGGAATCCATTCTCTCCTATTCACCCTGGAACTAAATGAGTCATTGAGACTGTCTTTTGAGGACTGCATAGTAGAAGATCTAATGGAGTCAAGTTAAAAAGAAGAATCCATTTTTCCTAACAGTGACAGACTGAAAAATCTAGAGAGCAAACTGTCAAGACAAGTTCTCCCTTCTCCTGAAACTTTCAGGTCAAGACTGCAGTCTTGAGCAAGATGTCCTATAGTTAGATGCCAGATCTTGGCTCAGTAGTTAAGGAAGTAGCTGTGCTGCACAAGGTGAGTCTGGGTAACAGATTGATCCTTTCAGATACAGCTGTGAAAGGCAGAGAGTGAAAGAGATGAAATAATGCAAAGAGATTTAACTGTGCTTCACCAGTCTCTCTACTCTCACAGCTTTTTGGACATAAACAGCAGCCTGACAGAGCCTCTCCCTGCATATCCTCCATCCCACTGCACTCAGGGGGGTCAGAGGAGTTAAGACATTAGACTCCTGTTGTATTGTTGGTGGCACATAGCTGGGACACGTGCATCCTAAGCTGCTTATGCCTGGCCATTGCTTACGTGCAGGGGATATGTGAGCAGTGAGGTTGGGAAGGAAAGATGCGAGTCTGGTCAAACGAGGGAATGTCCATATGGCATGCTGAGGTGCAGCAGGGAGTGATGCAAGATCATGGACGTGAGATGGGAAAATTAGGTTTCACCAATGGACAGAGTTTCTGGCACCTGAGATCTGGGGAGATGGGGGGTTTCTTTACCTTATTGCACAGTTTGCCAGAACAACATCACCTGCTATGTGGGCACTTTAAAATCTGCTTCTACATTTCATATTATTTCCACCAGGTTACGAAACTCACTGTCTCTCTCCCTCTCTCTCTCCCTTGCAGGCTTGATAGTCTACTTAGGAATGATGGTGGGGGCTGTCTTGCTGGGCGGCCTGGCTGATAAACTGGGAAGAAAGCAATGCCTCATCATATCACTTTCAATCAATGCTGCCTTTGCTTTCCTCTCCTCCTTCGTCCAGGGATACGGATTCTTCCTCTTCTGCCGCCTTATCTCAGGCCTCGGGTGGGTAACTGGTGAATCCACCCTATATCCTGGAAGAGTCTCACCACAGCTGGGCAGTGTGGGAGTGTGGGGTGGGAGAAAGAAGTCTGCTCGGGAGAAACATCCCTGGTGCTGCGCTGGGATGGCACAGCTGTTTAGCACATGTGGTTGTGTTACCACACTCTTGAACCTTAGAGCAATAGTGGTAGCAAAGTTTGGTCACTGACATTCTTCTGGTACTGCCCAAATTGCACAGGAAGGTGTGTGAGATGATAAATGCCCACCTCGACTTACAGTCCTGATTGCGAGGGCCTCCAGTGAGACCCTCAGCAGTTCCCATTGTCTGCCTGTATTTTGCCTCCCTAAAATGAGTGATCACAGAATTACAGGAGAAGATATCTAGGTGAAAAGCAGGGCATTACACTGGTTTTGTACAAACTGTACAGGAAACTCAGCTTTTAGAGGATGAGAAGAACTTTGTTTATCTTTGATGTCTAAAGCTAGTCCAGCCAAAGAGAGGTTTGCATTTTTCCTCCGAGTCTCGCTTTTGAGCAGCATATCTGTGACTGTGACCTCCCCTCTTGATATGTTCAATCCTAACTATAAAGAATTGAAGAAGGCTCTCATTCTTCCCATGTGCTGTTTTTTTTTTTTTTCTCCTCAGTATTGGGGGTACCCTCCCCATCGTGTTTGCCTATTTCTCTGAATTCCTGTCTCGTGAGAAGAGGGGGGAACACCTGAGCTGGCTTTGCATGTTCTGGATGATTGGTGGCATTTATGCTTCAGCAATGGCTTGGAGCATCATCCCGCATTACGGTAATTGCTTTGAGCTTTTGACTTTCTACAACACCGCATTCTACAACACTACCCCAAGCCCCTGCACAGGTAGAGATAGTCAGTCCTTGCACATCCCAGCATAAACACCACTGAAAATAACAAATACCTGAAGTGCAGGTAAAGGTCTGACAAACTGACTGCATGACTGACTGGTTGATACGAAGGCTGTAAATAGGACTGATGAGGCCTGCTTTCCATCAAAAGCTTCAAACACACCCCTTGAATTACACTGCCAGAGCCTGAGCTCTTAATCTATATGGGAAAAATTGACTGAGATGGTATTGCAAAATTTGATCCAGTTATCAAAACCAAATAACTTTAATCTGGGAATTACTGGATACTATGAATGATAGCAGTGAGGAGAGCACATGTGCTTTCCCTTAGCTAAGTGTCAAACTCTCAGGGCTGTGTACCTGGTGAAACATCTGCCCCACATGGGATGGGCTGGAGTCACATCTGACTTCACCTAAATGGGTTCAGGAATAGAAGAGGTTCCCTGCCCAGACCTGGAAGTGGAAATGAAAAGGTAGATGTTTGTAAACTGAAACATATTTGTGCTCCGAGGGGCAAAAAAAGTCTGCATGTCACATGGAATTCCTTGTAACTCGTAAATAACCTAGGAAAACATCAGAAACAGATATCTACTGGAAAAGATTAATTTCCTCCGTATTCAGTGACACCAGCTGTTTGCAAAATCCTATTTGAGGAAAGTAGGACAGTCTGCAAAAACCATGAAGAAAACCAC